CACCCTTCATCTCCACCACCCTTCCTCCCTTCATCTCCATCACCCCTCCACCCTTCATCTCCACCACCCCTCCCTCCCCATCCTCTCCACCACCCCTCCTCCCTTCGTCTCTAACACTCCTCCAACCTTCATCTCCACCACCCCTCCTCCCTAAGTCTCCACCACCCCTCCTCCCTTCGTATCTAACACTCCTCCAACCTTTATCTCCACCACCCCTTCGATTAATGGAGAATTGGAGAATAACACCAACGCCCAAATTTTACTCCTTTTGTTTGTTTGTTTAGGTTAAGGATTATGCTGAGAGAAAGGGAGTAGAAGTTCAAGAAGTTGAGAGATGGCTTTCGAGTATATTATCATACGATGCGGAATACTAAAACAAATTGGGAATGTAATATAATAGGAACATTTAATCTACAATTTTATCTACAAAAACCATCACTATACACCTTTGGGGACAATCATTTGCTACGAAAGGAATCGTCTTTTCGAGTGATTTGAATAGCAAAGACAAAAATCACCTGGAGTGAATTCAAATACAATTTGCGTGATGGCCGTGGACAAATTAATCTGTCACGTCAGGGTAGTGGCAGCCTACAACTAAAAATTCTTAGCACAGGATTTGTGCTTTCCGTTTTCAAGTGCACTTGAAAGACTTAAAAAACCTTGAAAATCAGGGAAAACGCTGAAACTCTTGGAAACTCCTTGGATTTGATTCAATGTACCCTTGCGTTAAAGTTTTTAACTGAAATGTGAAGAGGTTCGTAGAATTCATACCCGGAAGTGTCCACAAACATTAAACACGTGATCTTAAAGATGGACATTGAACAATGTGGGATAAAAGCAAAGTTTTTTAACCCTGTAATCAATTAAAATATAATCACCTGGATGTGACGTAGATCAGACATTTGAGATTGACATATTGAATTGGGTTTGTTGAAATTAAATGATATTTATTGTACACTTTTAYATGTTGAATAACAAATCATTTTTTATCATCATCTCACTTTTGAAAGCAACAGCGTTAAAAAACGKTKAAACKTCACCTAAAATATCCGTCATCTTTATATTTTCATCAATACMATAATCCACTTCGTCACAGTAAGCATGACGTCATCCGTGGAAAAATTACCTGCGTGTAGCCGAACAAGGCGACGTACATAGCAGCATGAAGGAATCATTGTATTTTTAGATTCAGATTAAATCCATCTTAAATGATGTTGTCGCTTCTAATATAAAATAAAACAATTTTAATATGCTAATAGTCATTTTTATATAAAAAGCGAAATAAAATGAATTTGTAAGCCCAATATTAATCATTAATTTGGAGTTTTATCTCATTCCTGAGCCCGTGTTAAGTTTTTTACAAACGTCAGCGGGGTTTTGTATATATGCAAACACATTATCATTCATCTCCAGAATTCTCTGACTACAACATAGCAATTTAAGTCTTATTTGTTGTGTTTTTAATATCAGATTTGCCTGCAAATCAATCAGTGATCAATGTAGCCGATCTTTACAAAACAACGTTTTTGTTTTGTTTATTTTTATATTAAATTAATTGTCATTTATTTTGTTTTATTTTCGAGTTTTTTTGTGTTTTGTTTTTTTTTGTATATAGAAATTGAAGGTAGTCAGAAAATACTGGAAAAAACCTTTCCTAAGCGTTTTTGGATGTGAACACTGCTTATATGTTAATAACATACCAGGAAGCTAAAACCTGGTTCAGACGTCGATTTTTCGCCGCGTCCAATCTAACTKSTTAATTGTAKTTCACTATGAGAAATTTAAAATGGTATTTGTAAATCAAATGGCTTTTACGGATAATATTGAGCTCGTTCAGCTGAACAAAATTCAATCTCGTACCCAGAGCCCGCACTCTTGCCATCCAGCGGAAGTCAATGCGTGAGACATTAGCCGTGAAGACTCTGGGCTCGAGATTGAACAAAATTAAAAAAAAATGTGAATACTTTCAGTGTGAACTGCTCATGAACCAAACCCCATTAAATACACAAGGAGCGACGAAATATTGACGTCTGAACCGCGGCCTGAGACCAAATTCTAATTCATGTGACGGTTACGTCACGCGTTGCATCCGTGAGTTTTACAACACGATGCACTGCAATCCTTTTTKCCTTCRCAAAATTTCTTTTTTCTGCAYGAACTCCGGGTAGCGCAAGATTTTGTCACACTACCACCTTCTGTGACCGTTACGCAGTAATTGTAGTTTTCTGTTGGGTTAATTGGACATTCACTGTTGCTGTTTTGACATTCGTCTTCGGTGGTTGTGCTGTTGCATTGATAGCACTGTATTACCGAGTCTGGAAGAGATACAATGTTGTTAGCGGCCATTGGATTAAAGCCGATTTGCATTAAAATTTCTCGGGAAGTGTTCTCTATTCGGAAACCAACGGATTTTGATGGGCTGCCCCTAGGGATTTGATCGCCATAGGGGTTTTCTGTATAACATGCAGTGCTTTATGGTCTAAATTCGGTACTTTCTTGAGAAGTATTAGGCGAAAAAGTAGAGAATGTGACACCGTTGATTCTTCAGTTTCCAATTAGTTCTAGTTAATTTTAAACCTTGCCCCCCTTTTAAGCACATAAAATTAGATTTTGCCTCCCCCCTTCCCCTATGATAAATATTGCGCAGTCCTTGTAATCAGTTATCATAAATTTTGAAGAGAAAATCATGTCTTCAAACATAATTTGAAGTTACTTTTTCTACTCCATAAAATCTAGTATCCATAACAGCATTATTTCCCAATAAAGTTAATATATTTCATTGTATTGTCTTGTATATACCTACCTGTTGTAACATTGAATGGTTTTGTTGAAATCCTTATCCCATGGTATTTGTACTGTTCAATGACACGCACAATGTAAGTRGTGTTTGGGTATTCGTACTCAAATAACACTTTAGTTGGTTGGTTATAAATCATTGGCTCTATGGAACTGACYAACAATGATCCATCGTAAGGGTTTATTCTATCAGCATGGATTATAATTCTAGTAATTCCAGAAGGCGTCGGGATGCTACGATTCCATGCTACTTCGATCACTCTGGGACCTAAAACTGTGGCTGTCACTTGAAGTGGTTCAATGGGAGCTAAAAAAAGATGATAAGAAGAGTCTTTTAGATAGAAAAAAATGACTGGTGTTAATGTAAAGGGATGTTTTCACATGTGAAGTAAGTGGAGATACGGAAGAAGGGGGCAGAATTAACCTATGGTTTTCACATTTTATTCTCCTTCATAMAGTACACCACTTCCTACACCGCAGTTACTTCTTCGTTCGCGAAAGTCATTGGCTGCTTTCTTTTCGCTTATACTTTACCAGTGAAAACTAGGTTTAAAGAAAGCTKTTTCTTTTCCTAAAACTGCTTAATTACCACTTCCTTCCTCGATCGTTCGCTGATTCTCATGCATGGGAAAGTAGTTCTTGCTAAAATTCATCATTATCATCATTAGTGTTCTTCATTTAGCGGTTCGAGGTTGTAAAATTTAAGGTAACAACGGCCTCTCATGCCATAAACATAACATATAATACTCCAGTTTCGAATTCATAGCGAAAACCCGCTGTTTTATTTGACAACAAATTCTCTTGCGCAAACCCTGACCAAACACTAAAGAGAGCACGAGAAAATAACAATAACAATAGCCTTGAAAATTTACATTTTCCCCGATTTGAGACCAAACCTGTATTTCCATCAGGGCTAGCCTCAACTCAGGGAAAATGTAAATTGTTAGCGCTATCGCAATAACGACATTTTCTTGTACTTTCTTTAGTGTTTGGTAAGTTCTTCGCGCAAGAGAATCTGCTGTCAAATAAAGCAGCGGTTATCATTCCCTTTGAATTCGAAAATGGAGTATTCTGATATATACTTCTTGACTTACGTGTCGTAACCAAGACAGAACGACGTGTCACTTCGCTTCGATTCTTGTATAATTCCACAAGATTTACTTCATAAGTCGTGTTCGGGGTTAGGGAACGRAATTCTGCTTTATATTTACTACCTCCAGGATAGAATATCCGTTCATAATTGTACCAATACGACGGTATTGTGACGTCGACTCTAAATTTCAAAATGTCTGGATGTCTTGGCCTAGCTGGTTCAAATGACACCTTTATGGTTTGGAAGTCCAAGGCCTTGGCTACGAGACTTACAGGAATTCTAGGACCTGTACAAGAAAATGGTACGAGAGCGATTGTGATTTCGCTATCTACATCTCTTAGAGAAAGTACATTTATTATATATAGGGGGTTGGGTAAGAGAGAGGGGGAGTTATGAAGATGTTGAGGAGGGACTCCTCTGAAAAAATGGAGTAGCATAAGGGGGGCCTTGAAATGAAATGGATACCGAAAAGGGGGTAGGGGATTTTATAACATTCTGAAAACAATTTGGCATAATAAACGTAATCTTCCCCTTGCTCATTGTACAAAGAAATAATATGTTTTAATTACACACCTTCCATGAAGACCATTTCAGTTTTGCTCTGTCGGAGCGCCGTTTTCCAGTTGACAGMATCATCACCACTCAAATACACGACAACATGTACTTTATAATTRGAGTATAGCTCCATATCAGTGAAACTGGCCACAGTTTTGTCAGGATCTGTAGTAATTGCATAGACTTTTGATTTGTCGTTCTGATTGACAGWRACMGCTGTGTAACGTTCAATGCGACTCAAGCCAGAAGCTTTGTCTTTACTAGTGAGAATGTAGCTTTTCCAATGGACCGTYAGCGTGCGTGTGTCATTGTCTACTTGGGTATTTATGGTCCAACTGGGTTGATATGGATCTGCARAATCAATCAATTTGTGTTTTAGAGCTAAGTCAACATATAATGACTGTGAGATTTAAATGAGAAAGGTATTTTTTTGCGTATTTGAACAACCTCGGAGTTCATGACAAATCTACATGTGGTATAGGCTGTTACAAAAATGCTCTTTTGTTCTCTCCTAATCTGGAACGTGTTGAACGTGCAAATATATCACTCACTCGCTCACTATTATGAGTGATTGTTAGCTATTGTATTGGWCAGGCTCACTATTCGACATAGGTCGAAGCAGGCACAGAAGTMACACTTGAAATTTTTTAAACATAAAAAAAAAATGAAAACGTGTCTCCGGAGTAAACATCAGAAACCAATAGACCTAATCTGCTAATTGGATGGTAACGTACATAGCAACGCGTTAKCCGATGAGGTCTATTGGATGTAATACTAACAAATCAAGCAATAATTAAAATATTAAAATTTTTGAATGTATACGTAGTTATTGTTCACTTAAAGAATCCCAACTAACCACAATGCAGCGCGCGCTCATGATATTATTTACATAAGTTTAAATGCGTCAAGCATACAATAGATTATAGATTGATAGTAATTGAGGTACTTAGTTAAAGGTATTTCTGTCCAAATTGAAAGGATGGAAGACGATTCACGGTCACTTTAAGAAATCCTAGGAATCCTCCATTTTCGTGTCCACCTAAAATGGCGCTTCGGCTCGCAAGGTACAACGGTTGGTTGTGATTCTTTAATCAGAATTTTTGAAAGACACTGTACGTGCAGTACTCACATTGTTCTAGCTTATCTCCAGACATATCATAATCGGCCTCCAGATCCACACTTGCCCAATGTTTGTCCGAGCTTAGATTTATCAAAAGCTTTCCAAACGTCACAATCGTGAAGGGTCCTTTTGTGCCTGGACATATGCGTTTGATTTCTCGTCCATGACCATCGATAAAACTAAGATAYGTATCACTAGGAACAAAAATATATCACAGTGAAGATGGATTAGAATGTTACTAATCACTTGGTAGGTATATGATATAACCTAGAAATCTTCCAACACTTGGCGTGCCCTGTTGCTCCATGATAGAGAATGGGATACAACCGAGGACCGCCATCTTCTCCAAGGTCTTTCCGAGCTAGCCCACCAAGCTTCCCTTGATGAAACTTCCGAGAAAAATTGAATTTCCGGGACTAGGCGGGTCCCCGGGACCTTGACAAAAGTAGGGAGAGTATCATATCMCAAGCTTGCAAAACAAAAACCTAACCTGCAATCTGCTCTATGATAGAGAAGTAGCCTTGTGACCACCAGTACTACAGGGACTGTGCTAGATGGCGCTTCGAGTTCCCACGAGCAATTCAGTTTCCTATCAGCAAAGTATCTATCGTATTTAACCATTCCAATCAAATTATCTTTTATAACCTTTTTGCATTCTGTAAACAAAAGTATACGGAAAACAATTATGTAGACCTGATGAATTTGGACAATCTACGTACATTCAAATTTTCTTAAAAATTAACATTGGAAGAATTATCAAATTTAATTCTCTTTTAAGGTGTATCCCCGGTCACACTCACAATCTCATCCTTATTAATTGCGCTTAAAAACCAACAAAACCTGAAGGAAAACACCGAGCCAACTCACATAAGATCCTTTGCCGCGGTGCCGTGGGGATTCAAACTGGGACAGCTTAATGATCATCACCTATGCAAACCAAAACTGGGGCCGCAATATGACCATATCTCAAGTTTAAGTTAAAAGGTGGCTTTCGGTTTAAGTTAAAAGGTGGCTCACATCAACAAAATCGAAACAAAGAAAAAGTTGGATTCTCTTGAAGTATACCTGCTGGTTTACCGCATATTACGCTTGCTGGATATCCTTTCTTTGAACAATAAGAGGACCATCCGTCATGGACTGGGCATTCTAGAAGGCTACTCTCGTTTCCGGCACAATTCAGTGGTCTAACAAAATGACTCATTCTGTCGTAGAACGGGGAAGCATAATCAAATGTCCATGTTGGTTCCGGTAGACCTAAAGATCGACAAGCGACTATGCTATTATTCTCATGCCAATCATCAGAGCAGATTGTCATCCATTTTGTTTTATCTGCAATATAAAGTTCGAGTCGTCCTTCGTTTGTTACCAGGCCACCAGTCAGTCTTACGTTCTCTGAAAATGAAAAACAGATGACGATTATTGGATTACGATGTGTATTTAGCTGCCACTGGCGCTATTGGTAAATTATCTTATATAATTTTGGACGGCTAAACTGAGTTGGTTGCTACGACGCATGCTTGTTTGCGGGGTGGAATACTCTTGTTCCACTTCATCGCTGTTTTATATTGTCTGCCATTTTCAATACTTCAGTTTGGTAGCACGTTATAAGGTATCTATACTTATAAAAGTGGTTTGCTATTTCGGTTGTGATCAATTAAAATGGTTAACCAGTAGTTTAAGTACATCAGGAGCCAAGTTGTACAAAGGCTGAAAAAAACATTTTATCTAGGGCAAAAATTCAATCAATAGAAAAACTTATGATGGACCTTGGGCAACTTTACCAGCCCTTTGTGTACAGCAGACCCCTTGATATTAAAAGTTGCTGGTCACCCGATAGTCTATTTGACTGCATTGCATATTATCTTTCGCAAGGTTAAAGTGCATATGACACGATTTTTTTTTGTTTTGAAAATAAAATCAATATGACGAAAATAATAATCCTTCAAAGTGCCACTGGATGCAGGCTTCTAATTTCAGAGAAAAGTGGATTTCATGCTAATTTGATGACGTTAAGTTGTTAACTCATTGTTTATTAACCGATTGTTTATTGTCACCTTATTGTTTTGTAGAAGATATTTGTTATGTAATCAAAAACAATCTTTCACAGTTTGACATGGGTAAACTTAGGAACACTTGTTACAAAACACAGTTGAAATATTATAGAACACACAAAATGACGTCATCAAATTAGCATAATGGATTTTTAACTCCGATTTTCTCTGAAATTTGAAGCCCTGCATCAAGTGGTAATTAGCCAAGCTGTTTTTCTTGTTCTATTGACTCTATTTTTCAAATAAAAAAATTCGTGTCAAATGCACTTTAATTATCATTACCATCATTGACAACTGTGCTCCTAGTGCAGTACTGTACGCTTTCTCCCTCAACATCAGGTACGGCTATAACCGTTACTGTAACTGATGAACTGGGCGGTAGATCGTCGATGGTATATGTCATMGAGCTGACTTGTAAGGCTGCTGTTTCATTTCGTTTTGACGTGTAAACGAGRTAGTAGGTGTAGTTAGTATCTGTGCTTGGCTGTGTCCAGATCACATCAACTTTGCCTAATCCACCTCGTGCTTTTATTCTCCAGTCGGGGCAAAGATCTTTTGAATCAAATAAATGGTGGTATAGTTATAATATTAGAATGTATGTGTTAGTATGTTGAGGTCACTAATGAAGATACTATCATGACTATAAGGGTCTGACCATTTGACTTTTAACATTTTTTTCTAGCGTATGGCCTAATCACAACTTCATCTTGGATATTTTTTTCTCCCTTACAATAAGTCATACAGTAGTGCAGGAATTTGTTTTCCTTCCTTTGTGCTGGACTTATTATTTTTCCGGCCACTTGGGCCGTGCTGGAAAGCTTTCTTCAAAATCTAAGACGGAATGGCAAAAAAGTCAAACGGTCAGCCACTGATGGCACTTCAAGGAAGTGTTTAGTCGGATTTGAAGTCATCGCTCGTCACTCAAAATTTTTCGAGAGGTTGTCAAATAGAAAACCCTATCACATCGAGTTCTTGTTAGATGAATCAGTATCAAAGTTCACTGAGTATATATATTTTACCATTGAAGAAGGCATAATGCATCTTCAACCCTTGATCTTCTCTTGTTTTGAAAGTGTACGATGACTCATAGCTGATTTTGACGGGAAGGCTATCCACGATGAACAATCGTTTGTCGTTTGAATTCAGCTCTTCATTCTTAACAACCAGGAGATCAGACCTGTCGCCTGCCTGGACAACTAGACTTGCCAGACTACAGTGAGAAATTAAAAAAAAACACACACAATTATCCAAGTCTTTTTAAGTTGTTTGGGTTCGTTTTCTCAGCGCTTCAAATTTCAACAATTGTCTAATTTAAAGAAGAAAGGGCGCCACATTTGCTTGTGAGATTGTCAACAATGTAACTCAAAATCCCTTTCCCTGGAAAAACTTTGTACGAGAACAAGAGAATGAGAACAGACCCCGTCGACTGCGTCTGATACTTCAACTCATGATAATTTTTCTGTCTTTGTTTCTATTATGAGTATTAATGTGTACAGCAATTCAGGAAACACTTACCCTTTGTAGCGATACAAGTTCGCATCTTCAAACAAAAGCAAGATCTTGTTATGTGAAGAGGTAGGAGTGAGAATCCACTCTAGATGTGCTATGGTCATCATTTTAGGGTATCCACGACTAGATATCGTACCGTACTGGCTGGTGATATTCTTCTCTTCAACTATGGTGTAATAGATATTTCTTAACATGACAAATTCTTACCTATTCAAATTATGCTAAATATACTTATAAGGCGAACAATAGAATAATAGATGAAAATTAAAGAATCGTGATTCAGAAGACAATATATGTTGGTGTCATCCAGCCCACAACCTAAGTTCAATGGAAATATTCCGTATTCTTTTTCTTACCTTTAGGTTTTCCACACACCACACTGGCAGGATAATAGCAAGAGCTTTTCTTTTCTCCCCATCCACCATGAGGGCAGTCAGCAAGACTCGACTCWGTTCCAGTGCACATTAATTTATTTAGCCAAACGCTATCGGTTTTCCGTCCAAATTCATGATGCTTCAGTGCCATGGTGGCTTCAGGCAGACCCAATGATTTGCAGAAAACAGACGCATCGACAAGATTCCACATCTGGTCCCCACAAACACTTCCCCATTTGCCTTTGTACTTGACCTCGACTCTACCYTCTATGGACAGCTCTCCCCCAATGATTCGCCAATCCACTGAAAGGGTAATACTTGGAATCAATAAATTTTTACATTACCAAATAAGAAATCTTAGATGATCATTTTATGAAGTYCTCTTTCAAATCGGTCAAATGTGTCTTAGGCTAAAAAAAATCAATTTAATTTATAGAAAACCATCAGGGAATTTCATCATTGGCATTTGTGTTTAGACAAAAACTTTGAAACAATTATGACAGTGTTATGAGACAACATTTCCATATTTCTATTTTTAGAGTTATGTCTAGTAAATTCCAGTATGTTCTAGAATGTTCTAGTAAGCTAGTCATCTGGTTATCGTTTATTTCTACCTGTGCCTTGCATTAGTTAAACAAACACTTCTTTTTACATAATCATGATTAGACTAAGATAAAATATCTATTTCATATAAATAAGTCTTTGTTAGCTGTTTCAAAGTTCGCATAAGATTCTAAGACATCTTCTTCCAAATAACTTAGGCTATTATATTATAGGTTTTCCACATTAGTTTGTTTGGATTATATATGAACTTAGCTATGTTCAAACACTAGTTGCGACTTGTGACTATCTTGGGTTTCACTTGCTAGATATTTCAATAATGTCCGACTTTCATTAAGCTTTCTGATAAGAACATAAATTGACAACATAATGAGATTACAAGGTACTTGTTTATTTCTATAGTAAATATAATCTGGATTTCCCAGCTAATTTTGTAGGATGCACTCACGCAACTTGCATCGTTGTAATGTTACCCCAAAATTCAGCTAAACCCCTCCTACGAAAGTGTACACCTCGAGCGACGCCCTGTCGCCCATCGGTCGT